CACATATAGGTAGTGCCAGTGGTTTTGTAGATGGCGGTTTACTTTTATTTGAATCTAAAAATACAGGTGACTATCACGAAGACATGAACGCAGATGTTTTCGAAGAGTATTTTACACAGATGTTGGATCTTATTCCTCCGGGGTCTGTAATTGTCATGGATAATGCCAGTTACCATTCACGGCAGACCGAGCGGACGCCTACGACTGCTTGGAGGAAAGCCGATATAATTCAATGGTTATCCGGAAAAAACATTTCTTTTGAAACAAATATGGTGAAAAAGGAACTTTTGACACTTGTCAATCTTAATAAAGATCAGAAAAAATATGTTATCGATGAAATGGCAACAAATCGCCAAATAACGGTACTACGGTTACCACCTTATCACTGTGAACTTAACCCAATCGAATTAGTCTGGGCGCAGGTAAAAGGAGATGTAGCGCGAAATAATACGACGTTTAAATTAAGTGACGTGAAAATTTTGTTAAAAAATTCCTTGGAACGAGTAACTGCAGATAACTGGCAAAGATGTATACATCATGTACAAAAAGAAGAGGAGAAAATGTGGGAACTCGATAATTTAATTGACGTTACTGTGGAACCTATCGTTATCAATCTAGGAGACGAAGATAATTCATCAGAATATTCAGAGGATGAATTTTAATATACCTACTTTTTTATTTTCTTTATTGTACATTTATACAACACTACATTTACTCACCATAATTTGAATTTTCAAAATACATATATTTTTGTGTGGAATAAAAGTCTATTCATTAAATTTAAATAAATATTTTGATAATAATATTGAATAATTTTATTTGAATTACTAAAAACCCTCTTAACCCGGTTATGATGCTTAAAGTAGCCTCATGTTTTGAAATGCTGTTTTTATATTGTTTACTTATAAGAGAAATGGACCGAGAAATTGAAGCGGCATAGACAAAGACGGATTGTCGGGGATTAAATTTTAGCTACCTGCTACAATTTAGTACAGTCCGATCGCACAAAGTTTTTTTAAAAGTACACCTCATCTATACCGAAAATACATAATATAAAAATATTGAATATAAGCACCAGTACTACATTTATTTACGATTTGCATACATAATGAGCTTTTATTACTCTCTTTCATTTCTAAACAGACTATAATCTAAATTGTAATGTACTACATATCTCAAAAATTGTGGGAGATACAAAGAAAAAACAGAAAAATTATAGAAACTTTAACACCCTTATACCATGGTAACGAAACATTTACGGACATATTACATATTTTTTTTACTTAAACTCGTCCCCCTGAATAAAGACATACTATTATAAAATATCCTGTATTATAAACAAATTTGTCTGCTTCCGATACAACTCGAAATATTTACCTATAAACATACACATGAATTCTATAAGTGGTATCTATCTACCCTTCCCTAGGAAAGTTCCTGCTGATGTGCCAGCCGAAAGATAATTCACGGTGGAGGAGGTATAAAATCCGAACCCGATATAAAAATAAAATATCCGCGGGATAAAAATAAAAGCGAATCTAAATTGTTTGACGTTTAGCGAATCTGACGTTTCGCCGTGATCGTAAACGGGGGGCGAGGAAAGCCGTCGAAGGCGGCGGGGTTCGGCTCAGATGGCTGTGACATGCAATGACGACGGGTCACGTGCGCCGATTGTCAAATGTTTCAGAGTAACACGCCGTGAAAATTGCAAGAGGGATTTGCGCCGCCGTGATTTGTTGTTTATTGCTGATGGTATTTCTGACGGAACTGTTCCCTCTCAAATAAGAAATCTCCTAATTATACCGGGCGACCCGATCCGTAGGTTCACTCGTATAGTTTCTGATTAGTGTCGTATTTGTACGGGCCTTGTTTATGTATAATATGTAGACAACCAGTAAAACAGATAACTCAAAAGGGGTAAGAGCTAGAAAAAAAGTTTCTTATAGAAGTTGTAGAGCATACAATTCTACATAAAAATGGTCTATTGACTTTTTCTTGTACTATTAAAATTAACAGAATTAGGGAAACTATAATTTAAGCGATGATTTCGGAAATTTAAAAAATTATTACAAGCAGAAAAATGACTTACCCATTTTGAGTCATCTTGAAAACCCCATTATTTTACCTCTTTTCACCCTTAGTCGGGGATCACCTATTGTTATTATACAGGGTAATTCACAACTTATCCAAAAAAATTTGGGAATAGAAGCGGCATGAGAAATGGAGTCAATATTGTAAAAAAAATATTTTGTAAAATCCTTATAGTTTCTGAGAAAAAAATTATTGACGTTATAGCACATTAAACCACTACATAGCTGGACAACTGTAGTCTCTAGAGTCATTCGCAATACGCGTGGAGAGCCATGTGACTCCTAATACTGAAATCCGTCGTTGCGGTAGTTTTTACCTGTTATCTGTGGTATTTACATCAATTTTTTAGTAGTTAGTGTCAAAAATGGCTTGCGTGTATAGCATCTCAGAGTTGATGGATATCGTTTTAATCTATGGTGAAGCAAGACAACATTTGTATTATGGTGAAGTATTTGTGTTATGGTGAAGCAAGACATCATTTGTGTTAGTTCGTAGAAAGTGAGTAAGACGGACCCAAATGTGTTTACATGTGAGTGGATAAAATTTTGAACAATTGCTGTTGCAGCATGGGGTGTGTCAAATGATTTTATTATTTAAAAACACAAATTAATATATTAATAATTAATAAAGGCAAAAGCATTTGAATTTGCCGATATAAAATAGGTGCGATAAAAGTCTATTTACAAATTTCTTTCCTTGCGAAAGTTTTTATCCGTTTTTATCACGCCGCCATACCACTCGCATTGAGTGAGGTCAGGTTTTACAGTGGACCAGTTTCCAGTGCCGTGCAGAAGTGTATTTTTAAATCAATTTCGAACTGATCTTTTTGATTTTTCTTTACAAAATTGTATTTGTAAAGGTCCCCTGTACATCCAGAATTTTTTATTTTTTTTGATAAGTTCTGAATCACCCTGTATACCTCAAACCAACTTACATAAAAAATTCAGACAAGTTGACCAAATTGCGATTTAAAGGCCCATTTAATTGGACTAGAATGAAATAAATCATTAAATTTCACATCACATTAATAAAAAGGGCATTTGAAAGAAAGATTTGTTCTTGCAATGTTAAGAAATAATAAAAAGGAAATATAATAAGGACCCAAGGTTTGAGCCCTGAGGGACTCCTGATCGAATGCCAGATCGCCATTTACTCAGAGAAAAATAATCCGCAAGAAAATATTTTACGTTCTCCCCTATACTTCAGCAGAGTATTAAATTTTTATTAATTGTCAATCTCATCTGACTTTAATGTGTTGTTCATTTTACAATGTTCCGATATGTTTGTTCAGCTTGCGCCTGCGCACTTGGAACGTTCTATTATTATTATTATTATTATTACAAACGCCTATATCTATCTTAGCTTATCCTGTACAAAAAGAGAGACGACTGAGACTGCATGATTTGTATTGCTAAAGTATTGTTAAAAATGGAATCGTTTGTTGTTCTATATTTAATAATTATTGGAACCTTCTAAACGATACGCCCATGGAATCACATTCCCCATCTTCTATTTTGTAATCGAGTATCCTTACATTATTTGTTAATGACGATATGTTTTTCTACATTTTATAAGAAGAATGATTTAAAAACCAAATAAATGTGTAAATAAAACATGATCAAAAGTAAAGAATAGTCTGGAATTTTATTGAGTTTTCAGAAATACGTTTAGCTTGCGAATCTATCTTATAAAACCGAAGTACCCCGTTTCAGCTTAGATGTGAGATACATTATGGAGCGAGATTTAAATAAAATACGTGGAAGATAACGGGAATGGCATAAGTTGCAGTAGATTGCAGTAGATTCGCATTCGAATTGCACACTGCTTCGCGCTGAATTTTAAATATTCAATTGATACTTTATGCGATTATATGTTTATTTTGCAACCAAATTTCCACTTATTGTTTTGTTTATCGAGTTTATTTTTAACGCAAAATAACGGCGTAGAACAAATACAACTTTAGAAGAAAGACAATAGTTTTACGGTACACTAAAAACATTTTTGCCTACCTTTCAGAGATGGAAAAATATGTCATGTTACTTATGAATGAAGATTCACATTGGAACACTTTTGATTTTCAAAGACGGAAACATTGTTAGTACAGCAAAAAACAATTGCAATAATTTAGCAACCAAAAATTGTCCTACATCCAAGATTAATCATTACACTTTATATACATTTTTTATTAAATAGTACAGGGTTTAGAAGAAATGCATAATATTTTGTAAAATAAGTGGCACTAATGCTATAAATGACGTAGCTATGAGTATTTTTTCATTAGACGAAAAAAGAAAATTATTTTATCACATCGATTTTTGGTGGGAGTTCATGTATAAGATACTGCACATCAAATAGAAATACGACTTTTCCGGTTCGTTAAATATTTCAACAGAAATGAGAGTTTTAAGTACGCAGCAGTTTTGAACTAAATGGTCTGATGAACCTGTAATTCAATATTGACAACCGTTCGTTCGAAATTTGCTAACAAACTTCATAGCCTAGCGTTTTACAGAGATCTGCTAAATTGGGAAGCGTAGTGTTATGATTAAACTTTTCTGTATTAGGAGGTAGAAAAATATATAAACTATAATTCTGACAAATATTTTTATACTATATATACTACTATATTTATACTACTAAGACTTTTTAAAGTGAGAATATGTTAAGCATATATTTTAATTTTATTTCTTTATTTTTATGTTTTGGCTTTGCAAAATCAAACTGAAAGGGTACAGATATTCGCCAATGTTTCAACTACATCGGAAAATAAAAATAGGTGTTTTCATAAGTTTTTTCGGTGTCTCCAAAATGTATCTTAAAATAAATAAATAAAGCTAATAGACATAATGTATTAGTTAAGTCTCTTTAAATTTTAATATTTTATTTCTAATCTTACATATTTGTTTCAGATATAAAGCAAGTCGTGTTCGTAATCCTAAGCCAGGGGAATAAGTACCATGTGAACCAGGCAAAACATCTCTTAACTGACATTTTACAGCAGTCAGAAAGCTTGTACAAGGTAAAATCTAATTGTTATTTTACGTAGAAGTATTCTTTCTCATTGCTTTAGCTTCACGCTTTTTCTTCGTTAAATATATCTCTCAAACATGTACACCTATTTTTTTTATATTAAAAGAAAAAAAAACTCGATATAATTGTACTTCTTTATCACTTCTTAACAAGATTCTACGCGGAAAAACATTGACATTAAAATTCACATAATTATTTCTAACAGGCATAAATTGTAGATTTTCTCGAATTTCCAACAATATTGTTTGAAACTTTGATACAGTGTTTGCTTGTCACCATTTTACAAACAATTGTGTGAATTTTCGTGATAATGTTCCCTGGAAAAGTTGCACAACCTAAAAATTGAGGAATCATTTGGGAATTTTTATGTTCCTGTCACAAAAACCCACTTTAAAATTCAAAGTTGAATTGTTTGTTAAACCGATAACATCGTGGATCAGTTTTGGGTATTAACCGTAGCAACAATATCGATCCCCTCGGAAGACTTAAGCAATTTAATCTGTGCAATCGCTATCGATTTGCGTTCATAATAGGTATTCTCTCTTTGCAGGGCATTAAATTCATCAAAATAGAAGACGTACAATTTCCTATAAATTCTTACATTTTCTTATCTAAATCACGATCTGGAGCCGGTGTCGAAAACAAATGGTTTCCGCACTCAATTTAACACGAAACGAAGCTATAAACTTGTGAATAATTTATAGCCTCGGATGGAGTTTATAAAACAGCTACAAATTACTCAATTACATTCTTTTCGGGTATTTTTTGCCTTTCTGTGCGCGTTTAAATATTAACTGCGCGATGCAGATGTCTGTCTCTTTTGTTTCTTTACTTTTTAAAGGAAAAATAGCGAATAATAATATGTATTTTGTTTTATTCATTTCATAAACAGACATAGAAAGATGCGATAAAAATTTCAACGATGTTTTGGATCAACATCCACTATATTGATTATATCTCGAACAATACATGAAGTTGCCACCAAATTGGTCATTTATTAATAATTCATCATGTCATTAGAATTACAAACTATTAATAATTTCCTGTTAATACAAATTCGTATAGAATTAACCTATCACACTATTTTTGTTGAGGATATTTATAGACATTTACACGGGAAATACCAAACTTTAATACAAAAGTAATTATGTTCAACACATTTTCCTCATATGTATTTCAATAGTAGGTACCTTCGATTATATTTGATTTTTTTTTTCAGTACGTAAATTCAGTACCTAAATTTTTCTGCCCTCATTGGCATGGAAATCAAGAGCCATCACTGTAATCAAAAACGTTGTTGTGTTATTCCACATATATTTGCAAAAGAACATAACATAAAGGTCATAAATTAGTATAACGAAAATGATTGTTTTAATTATTTCACAATTTTTCTGTAACGTAAAATTTGGAAAAATGAATTAATTTAAACTGTTTAAGTTTAAATTTCGAAGGTTTTGAGTAAACATAACGTTTCTCTTCATAGTGGTATAGATGGCACAAACACATTATTCAATGATAGGCGTCTTATCGTCGCCAAAGATCGATAAATTGTGAGCACATTTATAATATTTAAAAAAATATGGTTTCCGAGATATTTAAATCCAAGTACTAAAATCTTCAATATGGTTATGTCATTTGTAGGTACTAAGTACACGATATTTTTTTAAACTCAAATATCTTTTTTATTTTTGGAGATAGAAAACTGGGAGGTCTATATCTGTAATTCATAATCTCATCTATGTTGATTTTTATACAAGGTGTTTCAGACCTCCCGTAAATACAGGGGGTGAGAGTACGACAAAAAATAAGAATTTTTTGTCTTATGAGCTATATGTCTATCTCCTCATGTTTTCGAGATACAGAGCGACAAAATAATAATTTTTTAAATAGAATTTTTACGAAAATTTCCAAACGGTGCCAAATATTTTTATGAAATTTGGTATTCCGGGGTTTTTAAAGATGCCAAATACGCTGGTCTAATTATTTTTTGGATATTTCATAGAGGACGCTAGTTATGCTACATTCCTATTACATTTTAAGTTCTAATTTTTTTAAGGTTAGGTTTTTTACCCAAATGTTGATATAAAGTTAATTAAAGTTTAAAATATTACTAAGAATGTATGCGTTGTTTATGAGATATCAAGTTTTGACATAAGCCTACTTTGAGAAAAGTCACTTATCACTGTAATATTGTAAGAGTGCAATGAAAAGCCTTTTTTCTCGAAAACTGTCCACATTAGGAAGTTCTAACAAGAGTACATTATTTTTAGAAAATAAAATTGTACATTAGAAATTGGAGCCCGAATGGTAAAAAACCCAACCTTAAAAAAATTTGAACTTAAAATGTAATAGGAATGTAGCATAACGAGCGCTCTCTATGACATATCCAAAAAATAATTAGACCAATGTATTTGGCATCCTTAAAAACCCCGGAATACCAACTTTCAAAAAAATATTTCGCACCGTTTGAAAATTTTCGTAAAAATTGTATTTAAAAAATTTAGTTTTGTCGCACTATATCTCGAAAACAACAGAGATGGACATATAGTTTATAAGACAAAAAATTCTTATTTTTTTTAGTACTATCACCCCCTGCATTTACGGGAGGTCTTTATGAGACACCTTGTATATGTTTTTTCATAATATCACACAGAAATTCAACAATGAAGACACATAAACACCGTACCTAAACTATGGTAAACTAAACTAAACTAACACTGAACTAAGTAACTTTTAAACTACTACACAACTATTTGATTTAAAAAAAAATAGTTTCAGATTAGTATTCTACTTAAATCCTTAAAAAAACCCGATGATATCTAATTTGATGTTTTTTCATCAGCTATAAAATGAAAGACGCTGTTTTGTATAATTTTCTCTTTCAATATAAATATAATTTGTTTTTTTTTTTTGCAATAATCCTTCAAATTATACAGGGTTTTCAAAAAGCTTGGAACCCCCCCGCTATCTCAGAAAATACTGCTCAGACAAAAAAATTAACAAAAGTTGCAGGGTTTTGAGTGAGCAATCCAACAGTGACCTTTACCATGATCTTGAAGGTCATTTAGAGGTCAAGTTGAAAATTTTAAATGGAACCGTATACTTTTGATTCCGGAAATGAGAAGAGCGAGGAATATCGGGTCATTTATTAAAAATCGATTTGACCTGTAAACGACCTTGAAGGTCATGGTCAAGGTCATATCCGAACGTAAAAAAATCAATTTTTTCCACTTCCGGGGTCAAAAATATACGGTTCCATATAAGATTTTCAGGTTGACCTCTAAATGACCTTAAAGGTCATGGTCAAGGTCACATTCGAACGTAAAATTTTCGGCTCTTACCATTTCCGGGGTCAAAAGTATACGGTTCCAATTCAAATTTTCAACTTGTCCTCTAAATGGCCTTCAAGGTCATGGTCAAGGTCACCGTTGGATTGCTCACTCAAAACCCATGCAACTATTGTCCTACTCTTTTTTTTTGTTTGAGCAGTATTTTCTGAGATAGAGGGGGGGGTTCCAAACTTTTTGAAAACCCTGTATAATCTGTATCTTTTTAAGGAACTTCCAGTCATACATTTGTCGCACGTGGATTTCCCCCACGTGGGCGACTGGACTGTGTTGCCTTTGATACCTAGACTGTCAAATATGCACAAGGAAAACAGTTCATGGATATTCTTTCTGGAAGACCGGACGACCATTCGATTGAATGTTTTATTAAATATCCTAAATAAATACGATCCGCACGAGGTAAGTTCGTAACTCCTCCATTTCGCAGAAGCGACGAAATTGTGTAATCTTAAATGAACACGGCGTTTGTCTGAACATTCTGGGCGTGATATATTTTTAATCAAACTGCACGCAAAGCGGATGGATGAATTAAATGTCGCAGTTTCCTGTGGGGCGATTCTTCGAATGGAACAAGTCGCTACTTGTCACGATATTTGGATATTTTTAAATAACATTCCACTAATTCGACGTATCAAAGATGAACTTTATTTACATAAGTATCTTTCATTTTACACACAAATCTAAAAATTAATTACTATTGAGCTGAAAAATTCTTACTAATTAACACACAGGATCACTAGACATTTTGGGAACTGTGGTAAATATTCTACTACCTAGAAAGTTAAATAATTATGCGTGGTTGCCAAATTGGTATAGATGACAAAATTCAAAACACTCTTGTTTCTATGAATACTTAAAACGGAGCCCGCCTCGTGAAATATTCAATTGAATTACCATACCACAGCTGTCACAAGTCTATGAAGAATTGGTTTGGGTGAGGGGAATATGCCGCGTTAAAAATTGATAACAATTTCCTTTAAAACTACGTCTTTGTACGAATGTAAAGTGTATTGCTAGCAGTACCCTAATTAAATATATGAATAATTAAGCCGGCCAGTCCTCTCTAGGTAATAAAGAGAGTGTTCGCTTCCAGGAAATGTGGATTGGCAATGCTCTACACGACAACGAAGCCACAATCATACACCATTTTGCTTTCTACGAAAACCCGAAATCTTTCAAATATCCGAACGTGGCGTCAGGTTTTGCTGTAAGTGCAGCTTTACTCAAGAGGTAAAGTATTTTTTAGATATACAGGGTGATTCAGTTATATTGTCATAAATTTTAAGGGGAAATAGGGAAAAATTAGTATGCTAAAAAAATATTTTCAAATCATTATTAAACCCCTTTTCGGACCGCTCCTAACCGCTAACCCATAAAAGTTCATCGAGAGTGAATCTTCACGTACCGTATTATTCGGTCACTAACATAGTTTTTAATGTGTTTTTAATCTGTAGAAACGACAAAACGTTAACGTTGTCACTGTTTTATAATTGAATATGAGCTTTTAGTATTATGTTCAATTAATTATCCAGTTTGTAGTACGTATACTTAGTGACTTATTGTTTCCTATTTAAAATGTTTATACGGTTAAAACAACACTCATCCGCCCATAGCACTTTGGTAATAAAGTTGGGATCCGCTGTACTTTGATTTTGAAACCATTTGCAAAATTCAAGGCGACTGGGGAAATCAGCTGTTTCTCTTCAACATTCGAACGTTGAGGGGTAATTAGTTTACTTTTTAAAAGGTCAAGTAACATTTTTTTTTCGATTTTGTCTTTATTAGGCCTTCCGAATACGTGGTTAAAATTAATGATATTTTGACTAAATCACCTTGTATAAACTGGAATTTAATTTAATTTTATTATTTTTTTTAAGCGAGTTTTATCACGAAAAATTGTTTGCGGTCCCTTTTTAAAAATTTGTACAGGGTGGGCCCAATTCAATATTTTCTGTAATGTCACGAAATTTTCAAACAAAATTGAACTTTGAAAACTGCGACCATATTCGTTTAAAAAAATAAGTAATTACTTATTTTTTTCATAATTAATTTGCTTCTCGATGTTGTTATGTGCGCCACAGACGTATCTGACATATGAATACAAAAAATGCATAGCTCACTGGATACTAATTTTGTTATAATACTTTTTATTATTATTATTAACATTTTTTTAAGTCTTATGTAAAGGAGAAACCACAGTGTGTTATGACCAGCAATAATTACACATCCAAGTATGAGATAATTCAGCACGGTATACCACAGGGTTCCATTATTGGACCAATGCTATTCTCGATTTTTATTAATGGCATAAATGTATTTTATTTGCAGCACTTTAATTATGTCACAATCATTTTTCATGGTAAAAAAATATAGTTTGGGAACAGATAGAAAAACGTGCTGAAAAATGGTTTACAAATCGGGCTAATACAAGAATGACTGTTTAAAGTTGTTGGGTGTGGTTTTGGATGATCGTTTAAACTGAACAGATCGCGCTGGGTACCTTATGAAGATGCTTCCAATACATATTTTTAATTCGGCAGTTAAAACTTACAGTTACGGCTAACTAATAATATTCTTTTTTATTTACAAAAAAAAAACATCGGTGAGCATAATTAATATTGCAAAAAACATATTTACTTCCCATGTATGTATGTATGTCGGAGAGTGGTGGAATTATTTTTCCACCGCGGCACATAGGCCTTATTAGGCCCCTTGTGCACTCTCCTTCATTACTCGAGTACTTTTCTTCAAACCATCCTATTTACTACACGGGTGGCTTGGTGACAGTCTCGTACAGTTTATGTATAGGTCTTGAGTACAGAGATTTCTTTGCTCTGTTCTCATTACCATTTATCGGGGACCACACGCATGCGGCAAATGTTGGGCGACCCAGGTCTCTGGTAGGCTGCCACAGCCACGTCCCCGAGCCTGCCTTAGGTCACCCATCCAAATTCCAACCTGCGTCCGTGATGCTTACCTCGGCAGATCGAAATCCACCGGCCAAAACACCCGGCTAGGCGGTCCTTTTACTTTACTTCCCATTATAATCATAACGAAGCTTTCACGCGTGAATATAGTGGTTGGTTTTATTGTGCTTTTAAAAACTCTAAATATACAAATTCCAACATTTTTTATAAAAAATCTAATAAAATGGAGTCAATGTTATTTGATATCAGTAAAAGATATTGCAGAAAACAACGACTGCAAGGGTTACAAAAATAGAAACTAATAATGATATGTCTAATACACTGGTCAAAAAAACTGAAATACAGTTTCTTATAATCAGTTACGGAAATGTAGTTTCCATGGTTCAATTTTTACCAGAAAATCGCACCCGTGACGTTTTACGTATTTTTGGTCCCCGATGCCGGATTTTGCCCGCCCTGTACATGGTGCAAGTTCCTCGTATTTTTCAGGTTGTCCGGACGGATAAAGGAGAACCCGCCCACGTCCGACTTCAGCATAGACAGTTCTCACGAATTAGCCCTATTTGTTTGGAACAAAGGGGAGGGTCAGATGCTGCGGCATGAATCTGCATTATGTAATAGAGAAAAACCACATTGCGCCGCTTTTCCTTCCCGGTTCCGGGCCTGCGTAAGTATCAGAAAGAGCGAGTTAGTGAATTAATTTGTCGGATACTGAACCTTTATCGGATCGTCGTTTATTTACCGCGACTGCTGATACGGACTGATTGTTATTCCCGCTCACAGGCGGTACACAGGTATGAGAAACTGCGGACGACACATTATTTTACTTCGATTTAACTGGTTATATGATTCTACATTTCGTTGTAAAAATTGACAGGTAGCTACCGAGCAATGTAAGTACTTCATATGTAACTTGTCATTCCTTCCCAACACCAGCAGTTCTCAACATCTTTATACTTTTTTGTTAAGGAAAGTCAGTACCTAGTCATATGGTTTAATATAACAAGGTAAAATTATTTATAAAAGTTTTTAAATGCCCTGTATAAATAGGGCTACACATTTCCATTCAGTTTTTTAAATTATTCTCATGTAATCACCATAATTTTGGGTTTAATATTGTAAACAGGCGGTATAATATTTATATTAATGAATAAAAATACGTTAAAAAATATTGGCCCTCTATTTTTTCTTTTTTCATTCTCACATCATTTCACAATGAATAATGTGAAGAAGTTCAAGAATTAGGTCACAACAGCTCTGAATTATTAGAAAAACGACAGAAAGTTGTATATTCATGCCAATATAATGGCATTCGGCCTTTCTCTCAAATGACGTCACCATATGCGCGTAGGCACATCATAATATGGTGACGTCATTTGAGAGAAAGACCGAATGCCATTATATTGGCATGAAAATGCAACTTCCCGTCGTTTTTCTAATAATATGATATATTCACAATGCATGCAAAGTACGGAGCTGACACTTGCAGTCAAATTTTGACTTTTGGGGCCGTCAGGATCTAGAGGGCAATATGATTTACTCTCTCAGATCTGTCGAACTACGCATTTATCATTATTATTTATTAACAATTGTAACAAAGTAACAAATTACTCCTGTTCATTATTAACAATTATACGAACCCTCTTGTCCTTGTTAATGGTTGCAGCCCTAGCAGTATGCCAATAGACATTTAATGATTTTCCTAATTTTTTGTTTAATGATGTCACACAAAATAAAACTTCATATTCAAATTAAAATAAGAAAATATACATAATAATTTTAAGTAGTAAACATTTCCACTTTCTTTACAGATTATTGGTTTTGATTACGTTTTCTATAAGTTCCGTACAGTTCTTATAAATAGCTTTATCCTTAATAAAATCTTAATTGAAAGTAAAGAACAAAAAAATTTATTTCTCAGTTCCCTATATTTCAATTATTGCCTGTTCTAGAAATAGAATTCCACTTGCAATCGTAGAATTAAATTTACAGCCACTCCAAATGTGAAATACTTTTATTTATAGATTTCGTCCTTCATTCAGTGTTAGCTTTGACGGTAAAATACCACCTAAGGTGGAATTAGTTCAAGCTCAATTCAGCAAATTGATGAAATGTAAATTTGGATATACACGTAGAATGCCATATACATTACTATGACAGGTTGCTACAGAACATGAAATATTCCGGAAAAATTGGGCGCCGAAAAAAGTTTTCTTCCCAGAAAACTGAAAAATGGAAAAATTGTAAAATAAATTATTCCGATAAAGACATTATCAGACCATTTACGTTTGTAAAAGAAGCTGACAAAGATTATTAATATGTTCAGAATGACCAACAGTATGCTGAAATTAAAAGATTAAGTGAAATTAAAAACGACCGCTGGGCGCAGGGGTGGTGCGGTCGGAGTGATATTGGTGTCGTTGTTTTGTGATTCTGGGAGTAGGTGATGGAAATCTATTTATTGTTCTGAAACTCAAGGCAATTCTTGATTTTCGGCAAAATTGGCATAACCCCTTTGCTTTTTTTACGATATCTAAGTAGTATAAGATATCGTAAAATTAAATTAATTTCATTCATTCACAGAATGTTTAAATTTTAATTTTTTTATTTTTTTTATTAATTATCTCAAAGGATTTTAAAGATATTGAGTCGAAATTTGATGGTTGTATTTTCTTTAGAAGTATTGACAGCAACGTACTAGGTAGATAATGTATCAATAGAAATTAAAAATACACAACTTGCAATAAAATATGTTTTATTTTTTCCTCAAAAACGGTGCATCCTACGGAAAAAATTGAACAGGCCAATTTCATTCAGAATTGATGGCGGATTTCTAAAAAAATATCAAAACGGGAAAAAGTCAGTGACGTACACTCTCTATCTCGGAAACGAAGCATATTTCTACCTACGTTTATATGAACTTTTTTTCACAAAATAACTTCGACAACCACCCCCTAAAATATTTCGCACTTATTTACACCCCTGTATAACTGAGGAAAAATTTAAGATTTTGTTTCGTTTAGTTATTTTAAAAACTAATTTAAGATTAGGGAAATCTTGATTTCGAATATTATGTTAAAAAATATTACAATTTTCGTACTCATTTATTCCAGTTGTATTCCTACAAAATGTGTATGAAAACTTATTTTAATTAGCGTTTTTTTTCCAATAATTTTAATTTTTCCAATTTTTTGCTTCGTAAAAAAACAGAAAACGTTTTTTCCCAGTTTATCCTTTTCTTTCCGAATTGTTAAATGTCTAGTTGTGTGTACACATATTATGAACTAAGATTACTCTTAATTTTGCTATCGTAGATATCAGCAACCGACATAAAATCATTTTCAGGACGACCCCATACCGAACAGCTCACTATATTTCGCAGTTAAAACCTGCGACAAGTACCACAAGGACAGGATTCCAGTTGTGAAGGATACTTGGGCCAAACAGGCGAAGAATATTCATTTTTTTAGTAACGTGAAAGGTGAGGATTATGTTCATGAATTGTAAGGAATTAAGTGTGGTGTGTTTTGTAGATGAATCAGTGCCTACCATAGACCTGGGTGTGCCAAATACAGAACAGGGCCATTGCGGGAAGACTATGGCTATTTTGAGGTATATTGCGAAGGATATAAGAAATGACACCGACACACGATGGATTGTTGTGGCCGATGATGACACTATATTGAGGTGAGTAAAAGTGTTGAACCGAATTTGAAACGTTCAAGTAAAATATCTCGCGCGCGACGGGAGCGGTGTTCACGCGCATGCGCGGGCCCGGCGCTCCTTCTCTCGCGTGCAGTCCCTTCATTAACATTAACGTTTAATGCGGCTAAAACTTTCTGAAAATAAAAGTTTGTAAAAATATTCTTCCTTGCCCTTAGCGTCTCCAGATTCCAGCAGCTGCTGACCTGCTACGACGACGCGGAGGACGTGGCTGTGGGGGAGCGGTACGGATACAACGTGCACTCACCCCGGGGATACAATTACATCACTGGGGGCGGCGGGATGGTCTTCAGCAGGCCTCTCCTCGACAAGCTGGCGGAGAACGGCGCTTGCGAGTGCCCCTCGCTCGACACCCCCGACGACATGTTCCTGGGGATCTGCATGGCGGGCCTCGGGGTCAGCGTCACGCACTCGCCGTTTTTTCACCAGGTAATAAAGTGCGGAGCGTCTGGTTTTTGTTGTAGAGTCGATTATGGTAAGTGGTCGACGGGAGCTGATCGGAAAAAGGGATAGGAGCGTCTCAAGGTTCAGGATTAGCATGAGCTGGGGAACTGTTGAAGAGGGGTGACAAAACATAGGGTAGGATATCGGTATGATGATACAACAATGGAAATGGGACAAAATCTTGCGACAAACAAAGGTGTGATTTTGATTTTTGAAAGGTAGTTGTTACATAGCACTTAACTAAACTCAGCAAAAAAAATTAAAGGAGCAGAAAAATGTACACATTTTTTTAGTGGTTTTTGAAAGGCTGCAACTTCGTGAATAATGGTCCTATCGAGAAAAAAAAAAGAAGCATTTTGAAGCTTGAAGGTTCTAGTTGAAATCTATAGACATAGTAATCTCTTATTCTGAAGCTCTAGCTATAGTGCAAGATTCTTCTGTGGATTATCAAGTATGGATGCTGACAAAGCAACTGTATCAGAAAAATATTCTATTTGAAACTTGAATTTTATTCTCAACAGAGTCTTCACTGTATGTTTGCTCCACAGAAGTAGATTTCCTTGTCTTTTGTCGAACGATTTCTCTTGGGAATACATCTTCTTAGAGCTGTCAGAGAGAACCGCCATTCAATGGCGTACCAAACGGGTCAATCGAGACATGCGCGAGCTGCTGTCTCAGAATGCTTTTCACGTTCATGTCACGTTAGTATACTGTTGCCTTAGGGTGAGTTTTGAATACATTGTAATAAATTGTACCAAATTACCAGTATGCGTCCAACTGTCAGGAACTTTTAATGATCATCAACATCATGTCTTCTTATGTTTTGTACTATCATTTTTTGTAGTTCTTTTCTTCTAAAAATCCTGTGGATGCCAATTATGAATATAATCAAACGTCATAAATAAAGAATCTAATCCATCTTCATTAATAAAAATTGTCCATCAGGGGCTTCTTGTACAAATGCTTCGATTTTTACTTTCATCAAAATCTTGGATATCTAGAAGATATTCAATCTATTTACTTTTCAGCTAGTGCACCAATGAGAACATTTTTGTATTAATATTTTTTTTTAATATTCACCACGTTTTCACTTTCACAAGCTTGTATTCGAGATAAGCCTGTAACATACTTTTCTGTTTTCTTAGTTTTCTTTTCTGTGCATGACTTTTTTAATCGTTATAAGCTGCTCCATATTATCTTGCAGATTCTTGGGGAACTTAATAATATACAAAAGGACAAAAGTACCTTCACGACTTTAAATTAAAAAAAAAATACAAAGTGTGTTTTTTTCAACTATCTACGAAAAATGTCTAACAAACGATGTCCTCTTTCGCGATGACAAATATGAGCTCTTTTTAGCACATCTTCCATGACCTTTTGTAAAGTTTCTATATCCCCAATAGACCAGGGCGAATCTGTCTAAATATCCCACTCCTTGGATGTAAGAGGGGGCAAGCTAATTTTTGCTGGAATACCTTCAGTCCAACTCACGTAATAAAAGTGTAGATCCCTAGATCCGGGCGAGGTCCAGAACATTTTCAAAATTGCAAAAATATTTAAAAAATTTAAAAAATACCTATTTTATCCAAGTTTTTTATATCTTGGAACCTACGCATTTTGGAAGAATATTGAAGAGGAAAAAAAGTTTTAGAATTGAATTTTGCACAATATACTGTAAGTTAAATATGTCTAAATTTATTACCGATGTTGCAAAATAGCAATAATTGATGAAAAAAAAAGCAAAATCAAGTTTTTTAAATATTTTTTTAAAATATTTTAATTGCTCCGAGGGCATTCTAATGTAAAAAAAACTTTAGAGTATAATAAAACAACACACCAAATTTCATTAAAATCGGTTTGATAGTTTTCGCAAAATAATATTTTGAAAATAAATTTTCGAATTTTCAAAATGTTGCACGGCCTCAAATAAAGCATCTAGATACTTGAAAAATATTTCACATAGGAAAGACCGCTCAACCGTTCAAACGGTTTTTGAAAAATTGAAATGGGTTGATCAGGACGGCTACAGTAAATTTTTAAAATTAACACTTTTTTTATTTTTAAACAATTTTCTATTTGCAATTTAGTTTTTTTCAAAAATTATAATTTTAAAGTACTCAGAAAGACGCTTCTTAAAAAAAAGTTAAATTCCGTTTATTGGTTCTCGAGATATAAGCGGTCAAAGTTTATCGGCTTCTACCGTTAATTTATAAACAATTTAGCAATAATCTTTGATCCAGTGACTTCGTTTTTCCGAGTTCTAAACTGGAAAAAAATTTCATATCGATAAGTTATCGGCAACATAGATAAATCAGCGGAAAAGCTATCGCTCGCACGCGCGAAAAGTGACTCAAAACACGAAAAGTGGGGGAGGGGG